GAAATGAGGCTGGACTGAGGAAGGCTTGGCCTTAGCTCAGAGGCTCAATTACATTCCCTAACCTGCCTCCCTTCTCACTAGACTGGGGGCACAGGGTGGGATTAGAAGCTGGGAGACCCTCCTAGAACCCCCATCCTAGGAGAGCACAAGAGCTAGCTGTCAGAAGGGGAATACCTACCATCTGATCAGCCTGCACCAGCCTGTCATGTCTGCATGGGCAGTTGGGACCCCGGCCTCTGTTCTCTGTGGCTACTGACTGGCTGTGTGACTTGGGGTAGTCTGCTTCCTCTCTCTGAGTCTCAGATGGGAAGAATCTCTTCCATCTTCTCCATCTCTAAGGCCTATGGAAATCCTATAGAGATAAAAGTAAACATGGACTTTGGCTGGTGGGTCTGGGTTGTCTTAAGCTCTACCACTTTCCAAGTGCTCAGAAGCAATGTACCTCCTCTCAGCCTTGGTTTGTTCATCTGTAAAATGGGTAGAACAGCTATGGTTCTCAGGGTAGATACTGCACAGGATAATTACTGATAAATAAAGATAAGCTTTGAAAGCTCCTAGCACAGAACTTGATACATAATAGGTGTTCAATAAATGTTAATTGAATGAATGGCATATAGGAGTTACTTAATAAAAAATAATGGTTTAATTCTCTACCTTTCCCACTCCAAAACCTTGAAAAATGTTTAAGTGCCAACCCACCCTGTAGCTACCAGTACAATGAGGATGTATGTATAGGGCACTGGGGACCATTATTTATCTTCTAGAATGAAGATATGATCTGATGTTATATGACAATCAGAAACCTATGGAACAGCTCACTGGCATCCTGCTCCCAGTGCTCAGGCTGGCTTCATAGACAAGTGCTCTTTCTTTTTACTTACAAGTTGTGTACCCACTGCTACCCTTTTTTGCCTTGTCTCCTGGGAATCTCAAAGCCAAATGTAATTCTCTATGGCAGCATCTTCGTGCAGCTGCATTCCTAACATAATCCTCTGCCCCCTTATTTGGTCCCTTAGCTCTGTCTGCATTTTGGCTCCTGGTGCATGTGCAGCCTGTGTGCGCCCTGTGTGCCTGGGCGGGCTGCCTCAGAGCCTTTTTTGGAAAGAAGGTAGGGAATAGGCCTGAAGGAGAGATTAGGATGTTGACATGTACTCCTGCCTTGCGGGTGGGGAACCACCGGGAGGCGGTCCCAGTCTCTGGGAGAGGCTGGAGCTGCCTTTGTGGGGGTAGGACGTCCAGTTTGGCAGCTCTTGCACTTTGCCTGGCTGCCTTTCAGGGGGCTGGACTGGTGGTGCTGGGGGTGGGCCAAGGCTGCTTCTTCCTGCCCCTTGGGGGCCCACCTGCTTTCCAGTGCCCTACCTCATCCTCCAGAGAGGCAGGGAGGGAAAGTAGGGGAATTTGGGCTCTGATCCTGCTCTGCTATTGCTGGCTTTGTGAATTCTCGCAGAACCTCTCAGATGGCTGCAGTCTTGCCCCTTCATGGGAGGTTCTGGGGAACTCATGGGTGAAAGAGGACGATGTCCAGTGTGAACTGCGGGTCCTTCCCAGCTATGTTTCTGTAGGAAACCCAAACTCATTTTGTAATGCTAACCCTACGTGCTCAATAAATGTTGGTCATATGGTAGGCATGTGCTAGGAGCTCTAAGCACTTGATCTCATTTAATTTCATCCCCACAATGGTCCTTGGGGTAAGTATTATAATCCCATTTTTACGGACGAGGAAACTGAGGCCCACAGAGGTTGAGCAGCTTGCCCTGAGGCCACGCAAGTTAGTTGTGGAACTGGACTCGAACCCAGACCAGGCTGACCCCCAAGGCCTGGGCACAACCTGGGTATGGTAGGTTATTTGAGAGGTCACCCAAGCCTACCTCTCCCTGCCAGGGAAGGTGGGCCTCCTCTGCTCTAGGCCTGCTGCTCCTGAAGGTACTCAGATCTCTCTGCTGGCTGGTCTTAGTTGTTTTCTGGCCATAGTCCTTTCTGCGAATCTTCCATGGTTCCTGGAGACTCCTTGGCCTCTCTCTGTCTGCACCCACACAGGTGCCTAGCACTTTGCTACCTGCCCCCCCCGTGTCCTGGCGGTTCACATCACATAGCCACTGCCATCGCCTCTCCTCCTGTCTGCCTTTCTTCACATGCTGTCTGCACCTCAGAACTTCCTTGTCTTTAGTCTCAGCTCCAAGGCTTCCCCTGTCATTAGCTTTTGCCCTTCCTTTCTTCTTGTATAGAATGTATTGGGCACCTGCTCTGCAGCAGGCCTGAGCCTGTTGCACTGCAGGGACGCCTGTCTGCTGGGGGAGGTGGCTCTGGAAACCGTGACTGCACAGCGTGGTCAGTGCTATAGTGGACAGGAGAGGCTGCAGGGGTCGGGGAGGGGGCCCTAACTCTCCCTGGGGAAGGAGCAAGGGTTGGGGGAAGAAGAGGAGGAGGGACTCTTGTGGCAGATGTGACAGGTGAAGGGATCCTGTACAGAGACAGCATCCACATGGTGTGAGAGTGGAGCTGGGGGCTGCGGTGCTCTGAAGAGACACATGTGGTCTGGAGCTGGGAGAGCAGCCGTGGGGGGTGCTGGCAGGAGCAGAGTAGTGCCTTGATCCTTAGACAGGTAGGGAGTCATTGAGGAGTCTTGAGCAGGGGAGGTGCCTGGTCAGGCTTGCTCTTCAAAAAGGTCTGGGTGGTCGTAAGGGACAGAACGAAGTATTATGGGGGGAGGAGGTATAAATATTGGACCTAGTGTCCCTGCAAGGCAGGACACAGTAAGTTATGGCTGTCTGGTTGGTAGATTTGCTTGTTGGAAAGATTCCTTGCTTGCTGCTTAGTGGCTGGAAGGAGGTGGAGAGACTGGTGGCCTGTGGACAGTCTGTGGAAACAGATCAGCGAGCTAGCAATGCGGGGGCCTGAGCTGAAAGGCAGTGGGGTGGCCTGAATTTGTGGAGGTTGGACCACTGGGACTTGGCTACTCAAGATTGGGTCTATTGGTGTGGAGTGGTGGTTAAGTTGCCTAGAAGGAACTGTGGCCCAGGAGGGCTCATTCTGTCTCCCCAGCTGTGTGATCCTGGACCAGCCTTGCCCTCTGTGTGCCTCAGTCTCCCCAGCTAAGAAAGGATTGGGTGAAGTGCCTCTTCTGCTCTGACCCAGCCGGTCTGTGGTCTGACTGTGGCTCAGGGGGAAGGACACAGGCCTGTGGTGTAGCCAGCTGAGGTCTAGTCTGGGGTCATCAGATCTGCAGGTCTGCTGGCGCCTGTGGCCAGGGCCTGGCACAGTGGCTATTGAAGAGGGCACGCCTGTGACCCCCAGATGCCCTCCCAACCTTCCTGGTGGCTCTACTACCCTTGTCAGCTTTCTGGGCTCGGCCTGTCTGGCTGCCCTGGGCCCTGACCCCATCCAGGGCCTCTGCTCTCTGTGTGACTGGTCTTAGGGGCAGTGGCCCGGCTCTGAGGCCCCATTGGCCGAACCCTGCCTGGGCTGCACACACCCCTGCCTGTGTGTGCTGGCTGCCCGCCCACTGCGGGACTAGGAGAAGGCCTGGCCTCCCCTGATGTGGGCAGACTGCATAGGAGCCAAGGAAGGAGTTGGAGTCTGAGAGGCTGTGCCTGGGGCCAGTGGTGCAGCTCTGTCCCTCCACCTGCACCCTGCCGGGGGACTCTGTACCCTTCTCTTTAAGTGCACTGGGAGGACAGCCACAGTGCTCCTTGTCCCTCAGTTTGCCTGGAGTAGTAGTGGGAGCTCAGAGCCTTGTTTGGAGGAGCACAGTACTTCCTGTCTGACGGGGAGACAGGGCTCCTTAGCTTTCTTTTTGGAAGGCTCAGCTAGGCTGCTGGAGCCCTGCAGGGTTACCTTAGGGTCCTGGAGCCAAGGCTGGGGTATCTTGGGAATTGGCAGTCTCCTGCCCCTGCCTGCCTAGTAAGTACCGATGAGGCCTCAGGAGGTTAGGGGACTTGCTCAGTGTCACATACCACTTGAGGGGCAAGGCTAGGATTTGACCTCAAGTGTGTTTCTGGTTGTCTCACCACCAATCTTTGATGAGGTCCTACTGTGTGCCCTTCTAAGCATGAGCACTAGAGTAGGAGCTTCTTAAAGGAATTAGAATGACTTATCTTTGTATTCTCAATGTTTGGCCTAGGGCCCAGTCCAGAGGAGGTGCTTGGTGAATGAATGAATGAATGAATGAATGAGTGAACAAGGTGAGGTCCTGCCTCCAGGCAAGTAGTCCAGTTGGAAGATACGAACTCCTTTCCACAGAGGCTGGTGGGAATCAGGGTTGACCAGATGAGAAGCCGAAAGAGGACTGGAACTCAGGTGTCCTGACTGTAGGGATTTTTCCATCCTCACTTTCCTCATCTGTAAGATGGGGTGAAGAGTCCTCACCCTCTGCCTTCCTTGTGAGGACCCACTGAGGCAGTGGTATGGAAAGAGGCACAGGAACACTGTGTGTGGGCTTCCCCGTGTGCATGCCCAGAACTGCCCAGAAACCTAGCAGTCGGCTCCCTTTCTTCTGCCCTTCTAGCCTTTGCATCTTGCCTCCCCCATGTCCCCAGCTTTCTCCAGGACTTCTTTCTGGAATGTCCTGTCCAGAATCCCTGGCTGTGGGAGGGATTTGGGAGGACGGTGGGTGAATGGAGTCTGCCTTCCTTTTTGCTCTCCTGTCTCCCACACCCAGAAAGCCATCCACCCACATCCACATCCATGCAGGCCCCCAGTGCGCACCAGGCCAGAAATGCCTTGGCAGTGGTTACCATGGTGATGGGTCCTGCTGCTTGGACCAGAGCAACCTGCTAGACTCTTGCAAGAGCCTGGCAGCCTGTCACCCCACAGACCCCACCCAGGCTGAGAGCTCCTGGGGTGGCTGCCCCCATCTCTCTTCCCTCAGTGCAAGGTACCCAGGGGCTCTCAGGAATGAGCTGCTTCCCTGGGAACCCAAAAGCTGTTCTGGGTCAGATAGGCCTGGTTCAAATCCAAGTTCTACCACTTAGGGGTCAGTGATGGTGAACTTGTCACCTCAGTGTGTTTTGAATTTATTGAATTAACTATGCACGCCTCATGGGGAGAATTATCCAAGGAGTACAGACCCCGCGGCATGAGAACCGTCACCGCCCCAGCTGTCCTTGCCCCCACGTGGAGCTGTAGCAGGGCCGGCACTGGGTCACGCTTGTTGCTGCTGAATCCTGGCTCAGGGCCCTGGGCTCCTCAGGGCTCCGGGAGGCCCTGCAGGCAGTGTGGTGTGGTGGGTCGGCCTCAGACTCTGCAGCCAGACCTCTGGGGTCACCACTGGTTGGTCTTTGAGACTTAGGTTCCTCGTCTGTAAAGCAAGGATAGTAATGAACCTACCTTGGGGTCTGTTGTTGGGTAAAATTAGCACATGTGAAGTGCTAAGAAGAGAGTCTGATACTTAGTAAGTGCTACATAAAGTTAATGGTGACGGTTACCACCACAGTCGGAACTGGCCACGAGAATCGGAACTGTTGTGCCTGGGTCCCTGTCATTTTTCTCACACAAGCAGGTGTATTCGGCTCTTGCTCACAGTCTGAGAAGGGAGAGCAGGCCAGAGAGACAGATGGCAGGTTGCCTCCCCCTCCCCAGCCCACCCCATCCAAGGACTGCCGGGCATTCCCCACCGCTTCTGTCTGGGGACGGTGATAAACTGGGCCCCGAGCAGAAACTCTACCTCTAATTCATGAGTTGCAAGATTTTCTCTGCTGGTTCTCCAGCTGGCAGCCCCGGCCTGGATCAGACAGCTGTCAGTGACCTCCAGAGCCCATCTAGTCAGGAGAGCCAAGTGCTGAAGAGGTGCTGCTTCTGATGTCATCTGAAGATCAAGGGTCCTTGGAGGGTGGAATAGGAGCTGCTTCTTAAAACACTTTATTGGAGCAAATCCCCAGGCTTGACTGCTATGGGGCTCACTGTATAGAGAGGGGGACTCTTTCAAGAATAAAGGTCAGTCTGAGGCAAAACTTCAAAAAGCTGGCCCATAAGCTAAAGGGAGGAGCACGAAATTCTCTGCATGATTCTCCTCTCCCTTCCCCACCCTAGGGTCCAAGGTCGAGTTAACATGGAATTGTTGGCCAAAAGGAAATTGGGCCTAAATGACATCTAGAGAGTCCCTCGGGGTTTGAGACCCTGGGCTAGAGGTGCTGGCCACACTTGGAGTTGGGGTCTGGTGGGAGGTGGCCCTGGGGTGCTCTCTCCTCTCCCCCCGGCCCTCAGGTCCTAGGGAGGGACAGACCCAGGCCACCCTGCTGTGAGCTGACTTCTCTGTCCCTCCCATTCCCCAGGGCCTCACCTCCGTGTTCTCCAGCCACACATCCCGGAAGTCGGCCTCCAGGGCCGAGAAGTGTGGAGCCATGGCAGATGGCGAGGTGTACCGGAACCCCACAGAGGTGCAGATGAGCCAGCTGGTGCTGCCCTGCCACACCAACCACCGTGGAGAGCTGAGCGTCGGGCAGCTGCTCAAGTGGATCGACACCACAGCCTGCCTGTCTGGTGAGGCTACTTGGCACAGCCATCCCCACCTGCTGGCCCCACACACCCAGGGCAGGCCTTGATTTTCAGAGATAGTCCTGTCCCCTGAGTGCCACACTCGCTCCTCCTCCTGACCTTTGCTCATGCTGCTCCACCTGCCTGAAATGCCCTCTCCAATTTCTGGTTGCTCAGCACCGGCACACCCGCTCTCCCTCCAGCTCTGAGTGTTGGCCCTGCACCCTTAGGTCCCTGCTCTAACACAGCACAGCCTTAAACGTGGCTAACCCAAAATTGGCTCGAGGGTGCCTGCAGGAGAGGCTGTGGCTGTCCTTACCAAGCTCCCAATACTGAGCTGAGGGAGCCGAGTTGAGGTCATTTCATTCCTTTTGGTGTCCTGGTATTTTCCAACCCACAGGGAGCTTACAGACTGGTGGGGAGCACAGAGAGATGACCTGCCTGCCCCACCCCAGCACGGTCTGATGGGGGCTGGGAAAGAGAGGCAGAACTATATCTGCAGGAGAATAGACCAGAGGCCCTGACCCAGCTCTGGGGGCAGGGGAGGGATTCCCCAGGGACCCAGGCAGGTGAGCAGAGTCCTGAGGGTAAGAATGACTCAGGCAAGGAAGCAAAGGTGGGTGAGATTGACTGGGTAGAGGTGTGGGCACTGAAGATGCTGGGGTGTAGAATAGCATGGCATATGCACTATTCACTCATCAGCTACTTCTTCTGTCCACTGTGTGCCAGGCACACACAGAGTCCTGTTCTGGACTGGGTCAAGCAGGGAACAAGATGGGCAAGAACCCCTGCCCTCTAGTAATTGCAGTCTGGCAGAAAGGAGTGACACTGGGCAGATACAACCCAGGTACATAAAACAGGGTCCGGGCATAGTAAGTATGGTGAAGAAAAATAAAGAAGGCTGGGGGTGTGGGTGAGGAGGCACTGCCTTAGTTTGGGTGGTCTGACGTTTGATCAGAGGCTTGGGTGATATGGGGAGGCTGCTAACACATGGCTTTCTTTCGCCAGCGGAGAGGCACGCTGGCTGCCCCTGTGTCACGGCTTCCATGGACGATATCTATTTTGAGCACACCATTAGGTAAGTGGTCCCTCCTGCCTCATGGTCCTTCTGGTCTGTCCACCACAAGCCCAGGGCCCCGCTCTGTCTCCATGCCTGGTCAGCCTGTGTGCCACCAGGAGCCTGACCCACTAACCGAGGGTCTTTGCAGATGGAGGGGGAGCAGCCTCTGTGGAGCAGTGACTGATCTGCCTTGTCTCTGGGATGGCTGTGGGCTAGAAGCAGGCTTGCTGGTGGGTGCTGTGGGGTGGGTCCCTCAGCCAGGTTTGGAGGGAGCCTGAGACAATGTCATGGGGTGTTGTGTGCATCTGGGGAGGTTATTCTTTCTCTGAGCCTCGGTTTTCTTATATGCAAAATGGAAGAGATTGGACTTAGTGAATGCCTTTTGAGCCCCAGCATTCTCTGTGGGTCATTGGTCACTGGACTGTAGGGAGGTCCCTAGACAAGGTGCCTTGGCAAAGCCTGAGCCAGAAGCTTGGGCCATTCAACCTCTGCTCACACACCTCCAGGGATGAGGAGCTCAGTACCTTCCGGTTTTGTTTTGTTTAATATTTGTACTGGTTAGAAAGCCTTCCATCACACTGTGCTGAGCTTCGTCTGCATAGCTTTGCTGGCACCCAAAGCACATGTGGAGCCCCTGCTGAGGGACAGGCTGCGGGCTGCATACAGTGCCCCTGCCTCCAGCCTGCTTCTTAATCACCACCAGAGCCCAGGACATCAAGTGCCTAGGGTTCATTCAGGACTTCCTGGGACCCAGTGTGCTACAGTGAAGGAAAACATTTGGCCATACCCTGTATTCATTTATTCTGTCCTTCATCACTATTTGCTCCTTTTCCAGACCAGGGCCCATTGCTGATTTTGGGTGTATGGTCACAACAGGAGCATAGTCCCTGTGCCCCAGGGTCTCCCAGTCTGTAGGGAGGCAGACATAGAAACATAATTTCAATTCAGAGGGGTAGGTCTCATGCTAATAATGATCTCTGACATATGTGTGCTTTGTAATACTTTTTCTAAATATCTTTAATTTCAGAATAGTTTTTAAAAAAATTTTGTTATCATTAATCTACAATTACATGAAGAACATTATGTTTACTAGGCTCCCCCTTCACCAAGCCTCCCCACACACCCCATTATAGTCACTGTCCATGAGTGGAGTAAGGTGCTGTAGAATCACTACTTGTCTTCACTGTGTTGCACAGCCCTCCCGATGCCCCCCCACATGCTAATTATACATGCTAATCGTTCAGAATAGTTTTTGATCTACAAAAAGTTGTATCTTTGAAGGCAGTACAGGGAGTTTCTATATACCCCATGCTCCACTCCCCAATTGTTAACATCTTACGTTTGTAAGACCTTTGTCACAATCATAAATCAATAGTGATGCATTATTTGTAATGCCTTTTTAATGTATTAACTTATTCAATTCTCAGAACAGCACTATGAGGTCCTGGCTATTAGTATCCTCATTTTACAGATGAGGAAACTGAGGCAGAGAGAAATAAAATAACTTGTTTAAGGTCATACAGCTAGTGAAGGCCCCAGGATATGCTACCAGGCAGGCAATCTGGCCCCAGAGCCCTTGTTCTTATTCAATGAACTACATTTCCTATATGTCTTGGGGTGGGGTGTAGTGGCACAAAGAGTAATCAAATGGGCTCCCTGAAGAGGTGTTTGAGGTGGCTCCAATACTGTCAGACTGTGTTTAGTGGTACTTTGAAGGCTAGTGGAACTGTGCCCCAGCCAGCTGTAGGTCTCTGCCTCCAACACAGTTTCTGACACTCAGAGGAGCTAGAGAGGAGAGGGCTGGGGCTGGGGTGTGCTCATGCATGATGGACGGACCTGCTACAGGACCCAGTGCAGTGAATATGAGTCTGGGCACAGTAAGGCGTGGGTGGAACAGAAAGCCAGAGAGGATCCTGGGAAGGAGGGCAAGCTGGGGAGGGGCCTGGATCACACTGGTGGCTAGCAAAGGCCTGCTGTACTTGGGGAAAACTGGAGAAGGTTTTTTTTGTTTTTGTTTTTGTTTTTCTGTTTAAAAATATCTCAAAATGTCTCCCTAAGGGGTGAAAACTCTTTTTAAACATAACCTTAACACCATTACCACATTACCTTACCTAAACAAAATTATCAATAATGTCTTGTATTAAATATTCAGTCAGCATTCAATTGCCCACACTGTCTCCCAGTTTCTTTATTTTGTTTTGCTTCACAGTTATTTTTGTTGTTCAAGTCAGGATGCAAATAATGTTGCAATTGTTTGCTGTGTCTCTTAGGTTGTTGTTGTTACTAATCTGTAGGCACTAAACCTGCCCACATTTGTTCCCACATCTCTTTTTTCTTTTTTCTTGAAATTGATTTGGTGAGAAAACCTGGTCCCTTGCTCCCTAGAGTTCTCTGTTGTCTGGGTTTTGCTGGTAGCATCATTGTGAAGTCATTTGACATGTCCCTCTGTCTCCTGAGGGTCCTGGGGAAGGGCCTGCACAGAGCTTGCTTTGTGTATGGGAGCCGCCTCTTTGTGATGTGAAGAATATGTCCTCTCACTTGACCCTCAGGGCTCATGCATTCTCTGTGCTCTACAGACAAGGACATAAGCTCAGAGAGGCAAAGTGACTCACCCAAGTTCACACAACTTGGTGTGTGATAGTCACAGTAAAGCTTGACTGGAACTCAGGCCTGTGTGGCTGTTTACATTGTGTCCACTGCTGCTACCTGCCCAGCAGGCCCTTTGGGAGGGATGCTTCCTAGCCTTGGGGAGGAGGCTGTGTTATTTAAGGAAGAAATTAGCATGGGCTCTCCATGTTCATGAGCCAAGGCTCAGAGAGGTGAAAGGACTTGCTCAAGGTCACATGGTATTGAATGGGGCCAGCATCCCAGCCCGCTGCTGCCATATCCCTACACTCCATCTGCAGGGCACCGTCTGCTGCCTCCAGTTAGGCACAGGGCAGGCTAGGTTCCTCCTTCTGGGATTCTGACTGTTCTTCAGGACATGGGACTCATTTCAGAGAGATAGGCTGCTATTGGAAAGAGTGGAACCAGTGTAGTCAACAGAATCAATCTAGAATCCTGGCTCTGTCACCTCTTAGCTGGGTGGCCTTGGGAAAATAGCTTACATGCTCTGATGCTCAGTCCCCCTAAAGCTACCTGCCAAGCGTATTTTGAGGCTCACACGAGGTAGTGCACAATTCTTGGCACATAGTAAGCATTTTTTAAATGTTTCTATTTTCCTTCCCACCCTCTGTTTGTAGCCCCTTGCACTTAGTAAGCATTCAATAAATGTGGAGTGCATTAATTCAGCAGGCCACTGTTTACGGAGGACTTACGTGCCATGTGCTAGGCCTTGAAGAGTCAATGGTGAGCAAAACAGACATGATCTTTGCCCCAGAGGAGCTTAAAAGTTGTGGGAGACACACAGACCAATCTGTTGGCAGAAGTATTAGGGGAATGAACCTGATGGGGCTACAGGAGGCCAGAAGAGCTTCCCTAAGGGGCAAAAAGAAGCTTGAGCATTCACTGGACAGGAGAAGCAGGGAAAAGTGGGGAGATGAATGAAATCATGCCACTTCTTTCAGCTTCAGCTTTTTCACCTGTAAAATGGGGTGTGACATTATCTCGCTGGTTTGCTTTGAGGACTCGGTGATATTGCAGATGTGAATGTACTCTGTAAGCTGTGACATTCCCCTGCCAGTTTCTCTTAGCAGAGGCCCTGCAAGTATCTGGGACCTCTGTTCCCTCCCTCTGCCCCCTCTGGAAGGTTCATTTGCTGCTTTTCTCTCCCCAGTGTTGGACAAGTGGTGAATATTAAGGCCAAGGTGAACCGGGCCTTCAACTCCAGCATGGAGGTATGTGGAGTGGGCACTGCCTGGGGGTGTCTAGGTGGGTGGGGAGTTTCCTACCTCCTCTCCACCCTCAGTCCCTTGCCTGCACACTCAGAGCCCTGGTGGAGGGAGCAGAGCTCTGGAGCAGCTGACAGGGCCAGGAGACTCCAGGATGTTCTGGCTGACAACCTGTAAGACAGAAGGAAAAACAGGCCCAGGAAGGACAAGGGACTTGTACCAGGTCACCGAGCCACATATATTCCAATACGGGAGTTGACCTAGCCTCCTAGGTCTTCACACCTAGCCTGAGACCCTCTCTTCAGCGGCCAGGTGGTCATGAGAAAGCAAGGAAGACAGCCGCTGTGACTGATCCCAGAGGCAGCCCGGGGGGCGTGGGCAGAGCCCTGGACTTCATCTGTTAGCTTACCTCCCACAGCCTCTGTTTCCCCATCTGTAAAATGGGGCCTGACGCCCATGCTGCTGTGTTGTTGAGGTTAATGGGAGGACTCTTCGGTGATGTACAGGGCCCTGTGAGTTCTGGAGAGCGACTCTATTTCCCACCTATGATGTCCGGTCCAGGCAACTTCACCCAGCTGGGCCTGTGGTTACTGAGGGACCACTGAGGCTAAGATAAAGTCCTGACTGTGCCTCTGGGCACCCCATAAATTTCCAGGTCTCCCCTGGGCCCTCTGCCTCCCAGGTGTCTGTCTTTTCAATTCAGCCAATGTTTTATCTTTCAAGCACTCTCATAGACACAGTCTCATTTTAACCCTTTCAATAGCTCTGTGAGGATAGGTATGATCACTCCCACTTTACAGATGAGGAAGAGACCCCGGGAAAGGAAAGTGGCTTTCCCAGGGAGACGGCAGCAGAATCAGACCCTCTCCCAGGTCTCTGGCCTCCTAGACCCAGTAGGTGATGCAGAAATACCAGAGGCCTGGCCTGGGGTGGGACTTCCTGTGCCACTGAGCTGTGGGGCCTTGGGTGGTGAGCTCTGCGTCCCCCCTCGTCACTCCTCTACCTGCTCTTCTTGTCAGGTGGGCATCCAGGTGGCCTCTGAGGACCTGTGCTCTGAGAAGCGGTGGAACGTGTGCAAGGCCTTGGCCACCTTTGTGGCCCACCGGGAGGTCTCTAAGGTAAGTGACCTTACCTGGCTGCTCGGTGCTGCTGGGCCACCTGGGCACCTGTCGTTGTGGGTTCAGATCAGTTGGTAGAGGGGTGGAGGTCAGGGTGCTGCAGGGAATCCACAGCCCAGGGAAGGCCCAGCCTGCCCTGCAGACTGCTGGCTCCTTCCCTCTCTGCTTTTCCGCTCCGCTCCCTGTACATCTCACATGTGGATTCTTAGGTCTCACCATTCCCTTGCATGTCCTGCAATGCCCTCCCCCTCGTCCTGTGTGCCTTTGTCCAAGAAGGGGGACCGGGGACATTTGGAGGAAGAAAATGATGGGTCAGTCAACATGGAGACAGGAAGATGGGGACAAAGAGAGAATGAAGACTTGTAACTGCCCAGCAGCCCTGGGTGTGAGATGACGCAGGGAAGACAGGCCCTCCTGCTATTTTGGGGAGCCTGTCCTGAGCATCTCCACACCCCTGCCCCAGGTGAAGCTGAAGCAGACCACACCTCGGACCGAGGAGGAGAAGACCGAGCACAGCGTGGCGGCCGAGCGCCGGCGCATGCGGCTGGTCTACGCTGACACCATCCAGGACCTCCTGGCCAACTGTGCTATTCAGGATGGTGAGTGGCCCCAGGTGGGGAAGGCAGCTAGTGTCTTGCATGACCCCTGTGCCCTGGGCACCCACTGGACAGAGGAGGAAAAGAATCTCCTCAGGATGTCCACTCATGTGTGGCCTCAGGCCTGGCTGACCCTCTCGTCTCAAGGTTTCCTTCAGGGAAAGGGGAGTCTTTGGGCCACTTGCCCAGTTCCCAGGAGCTGTGAAGATGGAGTTAGGATATACAGAAAACTCTTTGTCATCCATAAAATGCATTTGGGTCTTTAGGATTCAAGTTATCAGGGAAGGCAATATTAAGCTTGGCCTTGAAGACTACAGAATTTTTTTTTAATTAAAATTTTTTTTAATTTTTAAAATTTAAATTAAATTAAAATTTATTATTTTTTTATTTTGATATAATTAATGTACAATTACTTGAACAAGATTATGGTTACTAGACTCCCCCTATTATCAAGTCCCCCCCACATACCCCATTACAGTCACTGTCCATCAGCGTAGTAAGATGCTATAGAATCATTACTTGTCTTCTCTGTGTTATGCTGTCTTCCCAGTGCCTCCCCACTACATTATGTGTGCTAATCGTAATGCCCCTTTCCCCCCCTTGTCTCTCCCTTTCCACCCAACCTCCCCAGTCCCTTTCCATTTGGTAACTGTTAGTCCATTCTTGGGTTCTGTGAGTCTGCTGCTGTTTTGTTCCTTCAGTTTTTTCTTTGTTCTTATACTCCACAGATGAGTGAAATCATTTGGTACTTGTCTTTCTTCGCCTGGCTTATTTCACTGAGCATAATACCCTCTAGCTCCATCCATGTTGTTGCAAATGGTAGGATTTGCTTTCTTTTTATGGCTGAAAAATATTCCATTGTGTATATGTACCACATCTTCTTATCCATTCATCTACTGATGGACACTTAGGTTGCTTCCATTTCTTGGCTATTGCAAATAGTGCTGCGATAAACATAGGGGTTCACATGTCTTTTTGAAACTGGGCTCCTGCATTCTTAGGGTAAATTCCTAGAAGTGGAATTCCTGGGTCAAATGGTTTATCTATTTTGCGTTTTTTGAGGAACCTCCATACTGCTCTCCACAATGGTTGAACTAATTTACATTCCCACCAGCAGTGTAGCAGGATTCCCCTTTCTCCACATCCTTGCCAACATTTGTTGTTGTTTGTCTTTTGGATGTTGGCCATCCTAACTGGTGTGAGGTGATATCTCATTGTGGTTTTAATTTGCGTTTCTCTGAAGATTAGGGATGTGGAGCATCTTTTCATGTGTCTTTTGGCCATCTGAATTTCTTCTTTGAAGAAGCGTCTGTTCAGCTCCTCTGCCCATTTTTAAATTGGCTTATTTGCTTTTTGTTTGTTGAGGTGTGTGAACTCTATATAATTTGGATGTTAATCCCTTATCGGATATGTCATTTATGAATATATTCTCCCATATTGTAGGATATCTTTTTGCTCTACTGTTGGTATCCTTTGCTGTACAGAAGCTTTTTAGTTTGATACAGTTCCACTTGCTCATTTTTGCTTTTGTTTCCCTTGCCCAGGGAGATATGTTCATGAAGAAGTTGCTCATGTTTTTATGTCCAAGAGATTTTTGCCTGTATTTTTTCTAAGAGTTTTATGGTTTCATGACTTACATTCAGGTCTTTGATCCATTTTGAGTTTACTTTTGTATATGGGTTAGACAATAATCCAGTTTCATTCTCTTCCATGTAGCTGTCCAGTTTTGCAACAACAGTTGTTGAAGAGGCTGTCATTTCCCCACTGCATATCCATGGCTCTTTTATTATATATTGATTGACCATATATGCTTGGGTTTATATCTGGACTCTCTATTCTGTTCCACTGGTCTGTGGGTCTGTTCTTGTGCCAGTACCAAATTGTCTTGATTACTGTGGCTTTGTAGTAGAGCTTGAAGTCAGGGAGCATAATTCCCCCTGTTTTATTCTTCCTTCTCTGGACTGCTTTGGCTATTCGGGGTCTTTTGTGGTTCCATATGAATTTTAGAACTATTTGCTCTACTTCATTGAAGAATGCTGTAGGTATTTGCAGGATTTTTTTAAAAGCACACAGGTGTGCATGCGTGTGCACACACACACATAGGTATAGAGATACACACTTAGCTATAGATTACTTAGAGAGATAGAATGAAATGCAAGCCTCTCTGGCCCAGAACTGAGGCCCCCTCCAGAGGCAGCTTCATCTACTCATTTTGGGGCATCTTTTCAGAAGTATTCCCTGGGGACTTAGGGGAATTCCTCTTATTAGCCAAAAGGGAAGGTACAGTACATACTGTTCTGTATTTTGCTTCTTTCCCCTTAGAAGTGTATGTTGGAGCTTGTACAATTCTGGCACACAAAGTTCCCCTGTGGACTAGTAGGCTCTGGACAGGTGGAGAGATGAGGAGAAGTTTCCCTGGCAGAGGCCATGGACTGGGCAAAGACCCAGAGGGGCGACCTGGGGTTTTCTCATTGACTCCCTAATGTTACAATGTGGAATCTTCCTTGAAACCCAAAGGAGGCAATTTTAGGACAAATCAAAGGTAGTTCAGCTGCCCAGAGTGTGAGAGAGTATAAAGTACCTCACCCCAGTGAGGGCAGTGAGCTCTGCTCCCAACTCCATGTGCCCTGTTGATGGGGGCCTGGGGCCTGTGGCAGGGGTGCCCAGCTCTTCCTACCATCATTAAAGCCCCCGGGAGCCATCTGACCCACTGCATCCCTCCTAAATCCCTCCTGTCCTGACAGCCCTTCTACCAGAGGGCGGTCCAATGCCTTGGCCTGGCATCTGGCCCTTGGTTGACCGCTCAGCCTCATGTAGCCCTGGCCTGTGCCTGGCCTTCAGCCCTAGCCAAGCCAAGGCCATGTTGCTCCTGGTGACCATCCTGCCCATCCTGCTTGCTGACCTTGGCTCAGGCCACCCTCAAGCTTCCCTCCTGCTGCCTGTGGTGTCCCTGAGCAGCCTAGAAGCCAAGCTGAAGGCCACCTCTTAGATGGACGCCTCCTGGTGGGGACTCTCCCTGGGAGACGGGAGATGCATGCTACTCCTTGGGTTGGGTGGAGGATGTCAGCCTCTGCTTCCCCGACCTTTGAGGCCCTGCCCACTCTCTAGCCTCTTTTACTGAGGATATCCTAGTGCCATTGCCCCTGAGAGACAGGGCATGTCAGGGCAGAGGGAGGGAAGAACTCTCCTTTTGGAAGCCTGTCTCCTGAGTTTGGTGCCGAGCAGTCTAGAACCATATCACATTTCATCTTCACAGTCCTGACAGATCAGGTTTGACATCCACCCTTCATAGATGAGGAAATTGAGGTTCAGAGATGTTACTCGACTGGTCCAAAGGCATACAGCCTGTTTAGGGTAGAGCTGAAGTTCAGACCCAGGTGTGTCCAGCTGCTGCCCTGGGACAGCCTAATCTCCCTTATCCTGTTCCTGCCACTTCTCATCCAGGTCCATCACATGTGGAGCTGAGTACATAAAAAGATCTGGTGAGATTAATGATACCAAAAAAAAAGATCTGGTGTTGGGGGGCCTGGGTCTGCCCATGGGGAAGGCCTGCCCTTGAGAACCATCTCACCTCCCTGCCACCTTCCCTCCCCTCCTCCCTGGTCAGATCTGGAGAGCAGAGACTGCAGCTGCATGGTGCCTGCTGAGAAGACCCGTGTGGAGAGCGTGGAGCTGGTCCTGCCGCCCCATGCCAATCACCAGGGCAATACTTTTGGGGGCCAGATCATGGCCTGGATGGAGAACGTGGCCACCATTGCAGCCAGGTGGGGGACAGCGTGCTGCCTCTGCCTCCTCTCTGTCCTTCCAGCCTCTCCTTCTGCCCACTCTCTCAGGTGTAGGAACACCAACTTGGTGCCGACAGCCAAGGCTTCAGAAGCTTGACTGTCCTGTTAGGGTAGCCAAGGGCTTTCAGATCCAGAGAACCAGAGAACAATGATTTTCTATGAGAGCTATTCCATCCTCTGCTTAGAAAGCCCTTAAAGTTCCCATTGCCTGCCTGGGAAACACCACTCCCCTCAGCCTGGTGCTAGGATCTCCTGTTGACATGCCCCACCTAAGCTCTCTTCCTATATCTTACGCTCCCTGCAAATCGATCCATTCACCTTTCCTCACTTCCCCGTTCCCACCCCCCACATTCCCAGACCCTGCCTTTGCTCCTGGTCTAACCTCCCACCATGCCTCCCCATCATTTTTTGCTAAAATCCTGCCCACCTCCTCCACAAAGTCTCTCTAACTGTTCCCTTTTCCCTAGAGATAAAATTCCTTCCTTCTCATATAACCTCTGCCCCTTCTGAGGTTCCTTCTACCCCAAATATCAGGGTCTGTTTGTAGCTATGAGAAACACTATTCACTAACTAACACTCCCAAACCCCCATGACTGTGTGCTTGCCATTCCCTCTGTCAGGAGTGCCCTCCCCCCACCCCCTCAACCCACACTCTCCTCAGCGAGGGGGATTTTTCCTCTCCCTTTAGAGCCTGGTTCAAATGGCCCCTCCTCTGTGTTTAACCTGTGGAACATAGTGCATAAACAACGTCATTTTGGGCAGCCCAGGCTATGAGTATGATAAGGTCTCAAGGAGGGTCAGATCCTGGATAGTCAGGGAAGGCTTCCTGGAGGAGGAGCACCTCAGCCAGGCCTTGAATGACAAATGGATTTGGGTAAGGGGAAGTCTTCAAGGTAGTAGGAACAGCAGGGGCTAACATATGAAGGTTGGAATGAATATGGTGGAGGGATTTACCCCAAGTCCTGCCCTTCTGTAACCTCCAACTCCCCTTCCTTCTAGTCATGTACATAGACCACAGTGTTCTAAGTTGTGAAATGGAACTTTAGTTCTATTCTTCTGGGCAGAACTGTCACTGGGTTGGGTGGGAATGGGTGGGACAGAGGTCAGTGCATGAGGTTCTGGGCTGGGTCTGTGGACAGGGGAGAGAAGGTGGCTCAAGCCTGTGACTGAAGCTCTGGGGGCACTTGTTATTCCCCCCAACTCCTGGCCTCCTCCAGCCGGCTGTGCCGTGCCCATCCTACCCTGAAGGCCATTGAGATGTTCCACTTCCGGGGCCCATCCCAGGTTGGGGACCGCCTGGTGCTCAAGGCCATCGTGAACAACGCCTTCAAGCATAGGTGAGGGGCTGGGATGGGTGGAACTGGGACCTCTTGGGCTTGAGGGCTCTTCCTGACTTGAGAAGGGACCCTACTGCAAACCTGCCAGGAGCCCTCCTCCTGCAGGTGAAGTCTAAACCCTGCCTGGCTGCTGGGTTCCTTTGCCATCACCAGGTTCTGCTCTGGTGTTCCCTCCTGTAGGCTCTCCCAGCCCTGTGCCTTCTTGCTGTATCAGATCACACCACATGCACAGTGTGTCTGTCTGTCTCCCTGGCTCCTGTTTCCAGGCCTACCACACTGTGACTGCTCAGATCACAGAGCCACCTCTCACCAGTGTGCCATAGCTTATCAAGCCCTTTCCTACCCTTTTCCTGAAACAACAATTAGTCCCCAGAGCCCTTATTTTTGGAATGAATCCAGATACCTACTCCCATGGAATCTTCCTTTAAATATATATCTTTGTCGGTTATTTCAAAGATCGCAGTGTAGTAATTAAAAGTGAGGCATCTGGAGCCGGGCTGCCTGGGTTTCAAGTTTGGCTCACCTCTTACTGACTCTGTAACTTTATCCAAGTTGCTTGACCTCTCTGACCTTCAGTTCTTTCACTTGTAAAATGGGGTTCATCACAACTACATCACGGTTGTGAGGATTCAGTGAAGTGTGATACTAGAAGAGTTGCCGGAGAAGATGTTTAGTGAGTGTCGGCCATGGCTGCTGCTGTTATTATTAATTGTTATTAGTCTGACCAGTGCACATTCTGTTGCTGTGCAGAGGAAAAGCCCAGAAGTAGGAGCCACAAGGCCTGATTTCTAGTCCAGGTTCTATTCCTGACAGTTGTGTGACTTTGGGTGAGTTATTGCCCTGTTCTAGGTCTTGACTTCTCCATCTGCACTGTGTCCACATTCTGCTGTCAGAGACCTTCTTGAGCTGGGGGGAATAGTGGCTGCTATTTCAAAATTAATAAAGACTGTCAATTATGCAGAAACAGAAGCAGCTGAGTTCAGGAGCACGGCGGTTAGAGAACTTGTGAATACGTGTATAATGACCATGTTTTCTAACTAAGCTCTGCATCTCCACCTCCTTTCTTCTGCCTTTCCACACCCTTTGAGGTTTATATTCGTGTTTCATATATGTGTTGTTACCCCCTCCTCCAGCTGTTGGCTCATGAGGGCATGGACCCCACAGGTTCATTCATTTCTGTGTTCCCCGTGACTAGCACAGGGCCTAGCATGCAGTAGGTGCTCTGTAAACATTGATGAAAGGGAACCATTCTGGGTTTCCTGCCAGTGGGGCTCTGATCTGGGTTGTGGAGCACTGCAGGGGTGCATGGGTGTGCACGGGTATGCAAGCATATGTGTGTGAGCATGGGTGTGCTGGGAGGGGCATGGCCGCGAGAAGGTCTGTCCAGCATGGAAGCAGCTCTCCCTCGCCCTCAGCATGGAGGTGGGCGTGTGTGTGGAGGCCTACCGTCAGGAGGCTGAGACTCGCCGGAGGCACATCAACAGCGCCTTCATGACCTTCGTGGTCCTGGATGCAGACAACCAGCCTCAGTTGCTGCCCTGGATTCAGCCCCAGCCTGGGGTGAGTGGGGGCAGTGTTCTGCCCCACCACCAGCTCCCATCCTGTGGCTGGGGGTGGTGGGTCCTGCCAAGCCTGGGGAGTGATGGACCCAGCCCTGCCCCTCTGCTGGGGCACAGCCAGCTCTGAGTGCCCTAGTGTGACCCCCAGACATGCCCCCTGTTCTGCCTGAAAAAACTTGGACCATGCACGTGGGCCTGGCTTGTAGTTGGTATTAATAGGCATTCATGGGCCTGAAGTGTTGGAGGAGCCCTGGCTTTGGGGTCAGATGTGGTTTGGAATCACACCTCTGCCATGTTCTACCAGGTGCCCTCTGTGAGCTTTCAGTCCCCACCTGTAAAGCGGGCGTATCTATAGTCCCTGCCTCACAGGGCTGTGAGGGGTTTAGGGGACCTAACCCTGTGTCTGGCTAAGGCCTGTAGGCACTCAGTAAGTGGTGACTGATAACGACGATGGTGGCAGGAGAGCAAGGAGCACAGGAACGAGAGTCAGGGGTGTGAGTTCAAAGGCTGTCTCTTAAAAAAAGGCTCCCTTGTGCCTCCTGTGGCTTCTGGCGGGGCCAGGGACTGACCTTGTAGAAGCTGCTGCTCCTCCCTGGAAGGCTCCCCACCTGCCTGCCCGCCTCACCAGGCCAAGCTTGGGCTGTGAGAAATGCCCTCACTCTGTGGCTGGGTGCTGGGCAGTTGAGTGGGTGGTGGGTGGAGGAGTGGGGAGCCCCGCAGAGGGGTCCCATCCACAGAGTGGTGCCTTTCAGGTCTTTGCCATTTAACGCTCATTAGAAGTAGTGGTTAAGAGGGTGGGCCCTGAGTCAGGCCACCAGGGTTCTATTCCTGGCCTCACTCCTTACCCTGCGACCTTGGGTAAGCCACTTAAGCTTTCTTGCCTCAGTTTCCTCCTCTGTAAATTGGGGATACTTTGAGTACCAACTTCAGAGGGTTGTTAGAAGGCTTAGATAAAATTTTGCCTGGAAAGCACTTCAGAAAGAGTGCCTGCAAATGCTCAATAAATGTGGATTCTTATTAGCATTGGAAGTGCCCCTGGTGGATCCCTTTTACAGAGGAGGAAGCAGGTCCAGTGAGGGAAGGTGGTGCTCCTAAGGGACTCAGGTCGATTTGACGCCTGCTGTCCCACTGAGACCCAAACTCCACCTGAGGGTTGCAGGAGCTCCTTGGGCCTTTGTGGGGCAGACAGTAAGCGGGGAGGGAGGCAAATTGGTTGTCCTGCCTGCACCACAGTCTGTCCATGCTTCTCTGTCCAGGATGGTGAGCGGCGGTACAGAGAGGCCAGTGCCAGGAAGAAGATCCGCCTGGACAGGTGGGTCAAGGCTGGGTGGTGGGAGAAGACACGGGCTTCAGGGCTGTCTGCCTGCTCCTTTGGCCCCAGGGACTCACATTTCTTCATTGCTGTTCTTGTGCTGGGCTCTTTACATGCAGCCTTGTTACTCATCAGTCTTGCTGGCCCATTTTATAGGTGAGTACACTAAGGATAGAGGGATTAGATGGCCATGAGCACACAGATGGGAATCTTCAGTAGAATGAGAATCTGGCCCAGGCTGGCCAATTCTAAATCTTGTGTTCCTTCCACTGACTCTGATGAGTATTTGGCAGATGAAGAAAGAAAGGCCTTATGAGGAAATGTAATTGCTCAAGACACAAAACCAGGTGTGAATGTGCACTGTGAAAGCACTTTACAAACCTGAGCGGGGTGCAAACACACCAGGGTACACCATCCATTGTTAATAGTGCATTTGGGGAGCATGTACCATATGCCAAGCACTGTTCTCAGGACGACTCTGTGTGGCAGCTGTGACTGCCAACCCCATTTTACAAGCGAGGACACAAACTTAAGGGTGCAACCACTTCAGCCAGCTGACGGCTCAACCATGTCTGACTGAGTTTGTGTGTTCTCAGCTGCTGCTTTCTGTGTGTCCAACCAGTCTCCCTGGCCAGGCAGCAGTGTCTCCAACCCTTCTGGGCTGAGCACAGGGACTGGCACACAGTGGGCCTGCAGTGAAGTCCATTGAAAGAGATGGGCTCCCAAGGGACCGTGGTTGACATGTTCCATCTCTCCAGGAAGTACATCGTGTCCTGTAAGCAGGCGGAGATGCCCCTCTCTGTCCCGTGGGACCCTAGCAACCAGGTAAGGCACTCTGCACTGAGGGGACTGTCCTCAGGCCTGTCAGGGGTCCCCTAACCCTCCCTGCTTATCAGAGTAGGTCTGGGGGCCTGAAGGGGACAGAATACTAAGACCATGCCTCAAGACTGGTACAGTTAGCAGAGGCATTCCTGTTTCCCAGTGTTTGGAAGGAGGATGCTGAGACCCCGAGAAGACCCTGAGGCTTGTCCAGGTTACACAGGAAGTGTGGTCAAACCTGGACCTCCTTTCCCAGAGCTCCTCCACAGCCCAGGTTCCTCTCCCATGGCCTTGACACAGAACCCTGAGGGAGGGGAGAAGGTGAAGCTTCTGTGTGCTCTGTCCAGGTGTGCCTGAGCTACAACAACGTCTCCTCCCTGAAGATGCTTGTGGCCAAGGACAACTGGGTGCTGTCTTCGGAGATCAACCAGGTAGCTGACCCCACCCCCAGGCTTCCTTGCTCCTTGGCTGATGGCGAGCTACAGAAACTCTCTCATTCCACTTATGTCAAAAGGGGATTTCTTGAAAGGAGTTGAATGAGATCCTAGAACCAACCCAATTATACATGCATAGCTGCCCCCACAGGACCAGAGGCAGAGAACCCCCAAATCCTTCTCTCCTGCTCTCCCACCTCCTTGCCCCTCATTGCTCGTCTTTGCTGCTCTCTGCCCAGCTGCTTCCTCCCTCTGTCTTTGCTCCTTGTCCTTTATTGCAGGGATGGGGGGCCAGTAGACAAGCATGGGTTGGGGGAAGACTTGAGCTCCACCATGCTTACCCGTGCCCTGGAACAAGTCACTTACCCACCTGTGACCTGAGGGTGTTGCATGAGTGCCTGGTGCTGAGGATCCATTCCATTGTTACCTCAGTCACTGCTTCTTAAGACACCTTCCTGTCCACTTCCGCTGAATTCTCACAACAGCCCATATTTGTGGGGATGCAACTGAGGCTCAGAGAGGTTGAGTTGCTTGTTCACAGTCACACAGCAGATTGGTAGGCAGCCCTGAGCTTCAGCCCCAGCCTCCAGTATATCATATCTCTATAGTCTGGGGAAGGGGGTGCAGGGACAGAACTTCCCTCTGTCTCATGCAGGTCCGCCTGTACACTCTGGAGGAAGACAAGTTCCTCTCCTTCCACATGGAGATGTTGGTACATGTGGACGCAACCCAGGCCTTCCTGCTGCTCTCAGACCTGCTCCGGAGACCCGAGTGGGACAAGCACTACCGGTGAGGGCCAGGGTGCTGGCAGGGCAGGGGCCTCCTCAGGCCTGGCGGGGAGCGGTGGGCCCTCAGGTCTCCTGCTGAGCCATCCCTGTTATGCTCAGCCTCTGCTGGCCTTTAGCCTAGCATAGGGGGTGCTGTAGCTGTGTGTCAGGTGGGTGTCAGAGTCAGGGGTATTCTGAACCTAGAGTCTGAGTTGGAGGCCTGGGTTTGAGTCATGTTTCTGACCCAACTAGCTGTGACAAACAGGTCATTTCCTTTTGGGGCCTCAGTTTCCCTCCTCTTAAAATGTGTACTTGAGGTTTGGGTCATGGATTCACTCAGGATAGATCAGTGATTTTCAAACCATGTTCTGTGGAGTTCTATGTTCCCAAAGGGGTCTCAGGGACAGTTTAGAGTGGGGGTTAGAAGGCTGAGGGGGTGAGTGGGACCTACTCCAGGTTCAGGGTAACTAATGGAATGGCCAGTTAACTAAACTTATCAAGTATCCAAGTTCTTATGGAAATGCATGTGAATATGTTATTTTTGAATGTAGTTGAGTTACTTAATATAAATGTTAGCCCTATGAATACATTTTTCTCCTAATTTACTGATTCTTCATGTGAATATTTCCTTCTTGAACTTAGTCAAATAGCCCATAATTTTGGAGTTTAATATGGGAATGTTACAGTTGAAACTGATATTTTTTTCAAATTCCTGCCAAGTCATTTTCTGTTATGCCAGCACCCCACTTCCGGGGGTCCTTTGATCATTTCCCCAGTGGCTTACTATGAGGAGCCTGCATTCTTTAGTATGTCCATAGGAGGGTCTGTGCATTTGGAAACTGAGGGAGCAGATCGTTTGGCGAGTTGATTTTTGATGAATTGGCCTTTCCCTTCTTACCCCTATCTATCTTCACCAGAGCAGGCCTGCTTGGAGCTTTTATACACAGGCTTTCTGCTACAGGTTTCTTTGCAAAAAGGGCTGTGTTACCTTAAAAAGCCCTAGTCTAGGCGACCCCAGGCCTGCTGGCAGTGCCAATCTAGAAGCGTTTCTGAGAGATGAGTCAGTGGTGGATGTTGGTGGGGATGGGTTGGGTGTATGGCGAGAAGATTTCTTGGAGGGGGTGGTCTGGTGTGAGACTTGAAGGCCAGATCAGATCTTGATACTTGATGGGACTGGAGGGAATATCCTGAGGGGAAAGGGAGGCCCTAGCTGCTTCCCCCACACCCTGCCCACAGCTCCCCTGTTCCTGAGGCAGCCATAGACGGTGAGGGGAGAGTGAGGGAGAAGGTGGTGGGTGCAGACATGGCCGTGTCTCTGTGTGGATGTCCTTGTGTGTGTGCAGCGTGTTGGTGTAAGCCTGTGTATGTGCCCAGCATGTGTGGGGCATGCCCAGGCCTGTGGGGCAGAGCTCCAGCACCTGGCAGCCTGAGCACATCCCAGCTCTGCTTCCTTAGTAGCTCTGTGGCCACTGACAGGTTCTTTCCCTGAGTCTCAGACCCCCCCCCCAACTGTCTATAGTATGGGGATACTAAGAATATCTACCATGTGGGCTGTTGTGGGATTAAAGAAGACAGTACACATGAAACTCTTGGGACAGTGCCTGTCACATGGTGGGTGCTCACAGAGCACAGCTACTAAATCATCATCCATTTGTGAGGGGTGTCTGCACTTGCACAGACATTTGTGGGTACCCCTGGGCCTGTGTGTGCACAGTGGGTGTGTATCCATCCACATATGCCTGTTGACAGGTGTGCATGTGTCCATACATGCTTTTGTCTCCATATCTGTGTGTGTGCACACATTTGCCTGTGTACACGTCTATGTGTGCCCTCGTGCGTGTGTCTATGTGTCTGTCTTGGCCAGGACTTCCTGCCCTCCTATGGTCCCTGCTTAACAATGGAGGGACTGAAGTGTCCCTCAAGCATCTGTTTTGGGAGGCCGCAGCAATGGGAGGGCCTGGGCCAGGTCAGTTCACACAAGGAGCTGGTGTGAGTGCCTTGGGCCCTGAGCTGCAGGTCTCCCTCAGGAACGTGGAGCTGGTTCAGCAGGTGGATGAGGACGATGCCATCTACCATGTCATCAGCCCTGCCCTTGATGGCGATGCCAAGCCCCGAGACCTCGTGATTCTGGCCTCTCGGAGGAAGCCTTGTGACAATGGGTGGGTGCCTACCTGCTTGGTGAGATGTGGGAGGGGACATCAGCCTTGAGTCAGGGCTCTGCCTCTTACTGGCTGTGGGACTCCAGACACCACTTGGCTTTTATGGGCTGCTGTGGTTTCACCATGGGTAAAATGGGGGACAAGGGAACATAACTCCCCTCTTGTCATGTGTGCTCTAAGGCAGGGTGGTCTCTGTTCCTGGGGTAGTGAGGCTGCCTTGCTCCAGGCCATGCATGGACAGGCCGTTGCTCACACTGCCACCTCCATGGCCTCTACCCTCTGAATGCCCCATGCTGACTGAAAAGTGGTGAGTCTGCCAGCTGTACCACCGTGAGCATGCCGGGACAGATGGCGTCATTTCCACTTCTGTCCATTTAAACAGGAGTCCATGCTGGGTTTTGGAGACCCTGTCTGTCCTCCAGGACCTCCCAGCTGGCGCAGGGGAGACCCATGAGGACAGTAGAGTGTGTGGTGACAGAGGGAAGCCAGGGACAGGCACGGAAGGTGAAGCAGGAAAACCCCAAAGTACATGGTGTCTGGCTAACCCACAGGTGCCTCCTCTCTGCAGCCTGGCCCGAGCCAGGCATCAGTCTTTAAGTTTATGTGCCTTAGACTTGGTGAGGTGTCAGCGCCTAGGAGGCTGCAGAGCCTGGACTGGGCAGAACAGGCCCTCACTCACCTCTGTGTCCCTTCCCCACCTCTTCCCGCCCGCTCTAGAGATCCCTACGTCATCGCCCTGAGGTCAGTTACACTACCCACACACCCGGAGACCCAAGAGTACAGGCGTGGGGAGACCCTCTGCTCAGGTTTCTGCTTCTGGAGCGAGGGGGACCAGTTGACTAAGGTGAGGCCCGCGTCCCTTTACCCCTCCCACCCAGATCCACCCCGAAGACGCACGCATGTCCAGAGCTCAGGGCTGTCTGTCTGCATCAGTTCCAGTCCCTGACCCTGTGCCTGCCAGCAGTCTCCCTCTTCCTGCTGTGTGTCAGGGGCTGAAAATGAGCCTTCATTAAGATTGAATCTGTTCAGAGATAAGTCGGAGGCCACTGCTGTCTTGCAAAATGCTCTGAACACTGAGGGCAGATGGCCTGGGTTCTAATCTAAAATTCATCTCATTATTTACTTACATAATCCTTGCCTAGGAAAGGTCCATAGGGCTCTCAGCCCATTAAACTCAGCAAGGTGGTCAGTGTTAACTGAAAATGTGAGGGAGGCAGCTGAGGGCAAGCAAGGGTGGGGATCCTGCAGGTCCCCCCCGCACTATAGTTGCTGTTAGGATCCTGAGACCCACCCAGGTGGGGACCTGCCAGTGTCTGTGAGCTCAGAACACCCCTGGGCTTATTACCAACATGTTTCTATGGCCCTAAGCATCATCATTTAAACAGGATTCCATGCTGGGTTTTGGAGACCCAGTTTGTCCTCCAGGGCCTCCCAGCTGGCAGGGGAGACAGGAGGGCAATACAGTGTGTGGTGACAGAGGGAAGCCAGGGTTGTGAGCATCCAGAGGAGGGGACAGGGAAACCTGCTGGAGGAGGTCAGACCTGCCAGTCATGCAGTGCTCTAAGGGTGCAGGGTGCTGGCCTATACTTGCTGCCCTTCCAGCAGGTGAGCAAGGCTAACTCCCCGACCTGTCTCGTACCCTCTCAGCTGCCACACCCTTCCCCCTGCCTAGCCTTCCTGAGTGTAGCTTTCTGTCCTGCAGGTGTCCTACTACAACCAGGCCACCCCAGGCTTTCTCAACTATGTGACCACTAACGTGGCTGGCCTGTCTTCTGAGTTCTACACTACCTTCAAGGCTTGCGAGCAGTTCCTCTTGGACAACCGGAATGACCTGGCTCCCAACCTCCAGACCCTCTAGGCCCACTCAGTGGCCATGTCGTGCCTACTCCCACCCCATCCTGCTCCCAAGGACACACATGCAGTGCAATGAAGAAGGCAGAGGTGTTTATTCTTTCCTGCCTCCCCTGGGGAAGCCTTGACCCAGGCCAAGGCAGATGGCCAAGGGTGGAGAGGTGGACCAGCATGGCCTGGGATGGCTGGAGGGCTGTGGGCTCTTCTACGTGCAGAATACCACTTCTGGCCCAGAACCTTTGGGTTGTCAGTTTCTGCCAACATCCGCCAGCAAAGCTGCACGGTAATTCTGGGGCAGCCTGTAGTAGACTCGGGTTCTGTCCACCGCCCTGGCTGCCAGCAGCACTGCCTGCATGGATGCGTAGCTGCCCCCAGCAGGGTTGTGCTCCACTGTGACAGTGGCTCGGGGAGAGGCTGCCAGCAGCCTGGCCACGGCTCCAGCTGCGCTCTGGCCCAGTGGCCCAGCCTGAAGCTGGAACGACACAGGTTGCCAGAGGCCCTGGCACAGCTCCAGCATATCTGTGAGCAGCTGTTCCCTGTAGCCACTGCCCAGCACTTCTTCAGGCCAGCCTGGTGCCACGGTCACATGGGGGAAAACCTCAGCCACAGTTGTAAGTAACTCCCTGCCAGCCACATGTCCAGAGACTGTAAAACTCCCATGAGAGATTGTGGCCCCGAGCCACACAGGCCGAGGAAGATAGCCAAGGGTAGAGAGGTGGGCCAGCATGGCCAGGGATGGCCGCAGGGCTGCGGGCTCTTCTATGTGCACATGTATGCCCCAGCGTCCAGGGCGTGTGGCAAGCTGCTGCAGGAACATCTCCAGTGTCAGGGCAGGGCCACCTGGGACACGTATAATGGGCACGGGGTCCCCAGCTGCAGGCTCTTGGAGGCCAATGTTCAGCAGTATCATGCCATCTCTGTCTGGAAGAGGCAGTGAAGCAAGTGTCTGGGGTTTGGGTTGACACTGGGGTGTCAAGGGCCCTTGTTAAAGGGTTGGTAGGGCAGTATTGGGGACAGCAGAGGAGGAGTATCTGGAGCCTTGTTGGCTGGGTCTGGGCTTCCAGTGGAAGGGCTGCTTTATAAATGTGCCTGGGGGGATATGGTGCTAGCTCAACTCGATCTTTGCCTGTGGCTCTGCCCTGGGACCGATGCCTGCTTCTCCTGCAGGGCAGTATGGCTCAGGGTTGAAAGGCACTTGTCTGAAGGCTAGCGGCTCCATGCTTTTGATAACACTGTACTCCCCTGACCTTGTATACAACATATTGCCTTAGTAACAGAGACCCCCGGTACCTATCCCAAGCAAAGGAGATCCCCCACCCCCCAGCTAGGAGCATGGGGGCTGTAGGCAGACCTTACCTGGGAGTTGTGTTCCTGTCCCTCTGTTGTCCTGAATGTCAGGAATCAGCCACTCCACACTCAGACCATCACCCCCAGGTTGCTGGACAAGAGGGATCAGGCTGCCCCCCGTGTAGTAAATTTGCTTCCGTGTGGCATTCCCTGTGAAGCCCCAAATTGTCAAGAGAAAGTGGCTGCCATTCACAGAGTGCCTTCTGTGTGCCACCAGCCCACATGTATTATCTTTAAGCCTCACAGCATCCTGCCAGGTAGCTGTAACTCCCGTTTTGGAGATTAACAAAAGTGGCTTGCCCAAGGTTCTAAAGCCAAAAGGCAGAGTTGCTGGGATTTGAATCTGAAGCCAGGTCTACCTGGCCCCAAACCCAGTATTCCTTTCCTTCACCTAGATGGTTCCCATGGCAGGAATCTTGTCTGATGGGTCCCCTTTGAGATGTTAACTGCAGACCCTCCGAGATGCTGGGTCAAGGGAATGAGGGGTTTGAGCAAGGGAACAGGTAGCATCTGGATCACTGATTAGTGGGTACAGTGGCGGGACTGCTGTCTGGAACAGGAGAGTAATCGGCAAGGGAGGTTACCTGTGCTGCAAGGGAAGGTCTGTGGGGTTTGGAATTTGCTGGGTTCCTATCTGAATACAATACACATATAGGCTGAACAACTTGTATAAGTTGCATAATGGCTTTGAGCCTCAGTTTCCCTATCTATAAAATGGAATCCCTGGTTCATGGATATATGAAATGTAGTTAGCGTGCCATGCTGGAGTGTGGTATACAATAGATGCTTGAAGGATTCCTTCCCCTTTTCTACCCAGGATATTCCTCTTCTGAAGTCCCATCCCTCCACTTCTCTCCAGTGCCCACCAAGTGCTGCCTCTGTGCAGAACCCAGCCCTTCCCTGCCCTCCCTAGGCCCTTCCCTACCGGTGAGCTGCTTGAACTGCGACAGGACAGGCTCAAAAAGGTCATAGTAGACTCTGTGGATGGCGCAGTTGTCCCGGATATAGAGAAGATCATCCACTGATACTTGGTCCGTGACGCTCTGCCACAGTGTCAGGCTGTACCTGGGGCCCAGAGAGCCAGCTCAGTCCTGGCCTCAGTACCCATGCCCTCAGAACCGGACCCTAGCTGGGCAGGGTTGGAGCATCTGGCCTCCAGGGTCCCACCAGCCCCCTTTCCCTGAGCTTTACCCTCTTTGGGGCAGAAGAAGCCACAGGGGCTTCAGGAATGATGAGTGACAGAGGCTGGGGGGAGGGGTGACCTGCCTTCCTCCTCATTTGCAGTGTCTGTTTCTGGTTCCTGTCTTAGGAAAGGGACAAGGACAGAAGGGGATAAGCACGGGGAAGGGGGACAAGGTCAGACATGAAGGGAAAGGGGGCTGCCTCGGGACTCGCATTGGGACTGGCTGAGGAAGGTGGAACTGGGTAGCTGGGAGCAGGCTTCAGGAGTGGGGATGGGGCTTCCTCAATCCCTACAGGACTGTCCCAGGGCAGGTGCAATCTGTGCAGCGCCAGGGGCACAGCTGGCTCCCTGGTAGGAAGCTGTAGGGAGGCAAATTGTGTCTTGATATATATGAATACTTCCCAGCGGGCAGAGAGTTATGCACCAATGGACAGCCTGCTTTGGGTGGTAAGGAGAAGCTCATCGCTAAAGGTATTCAAGCAGAAAGCAGGGATGTCAAGAGGGTGTACATCAGCAGGGGATGGGCCAGATGATCTCTAAGACCTTTCAGCCATGAGTATCTGGTATCTTCCTGAGGGCATCAGGCCTAGAGGGTGGGCGTGGGGCTGGGAGGGGCTGTGGCAGGGGCCTGGGAGTTTTCACCTTTCAGATTGGCCCAGCAGCCAGCTGAAATGGGGCCAGGCAGCCCGCACCATGACAGCCCGCAGAGGGAAGTTAACCTTCTGCTGCAGCGGTCCCGCCAGCTCTTGCATCTTCTCCACCATGTCTCGGGTGTATGTTCTGTTCAGGAATGGGGGCAAGTAGAAGGTGGTCCAGCCTAGAGACAGGGTGGCCTCAGGATACTTCTCCTGGACCAAGGCCAGGAACCTGCAGAGAATCAGAGACACTGGTCTTTCAGAGCCTCACTGGCCCTTTCCTTGTCTCCTGGGTTCCTATCACTGTGCTTGCACATGGCAAGGGCTGTTGAATCCATGATAATTAAGGGCAGAGGCAGAGTTCTAAAAGACAGAGGAGACTTGTTCATGGTCCCACAACTTGGGCATGGACTTTGGAGCCAGGGGGTCTGGGTTCAGGTGTGACTTTGTGAGCTAGGCAGCTCACTCTACCTCTTTGATTCTCAGTGATGGCATCCCTTCAGGCAGGACAGGGCTTCTTCAGTGTCCCCATATGGACAGGGAAGATGCTACCCAGAGCCCCAGTGTGAGGACTGGGCTGTACCAGCTGCAAGAGTCTCTGAAGCTTCAGGCTGTGTTTTAAAATTTCATTCAGATTTTGCAACGAGGCAAGTTTTCGTAGGCAGTTAATACTCTCCCCAAACTACTGAGTAGAATCAACAGCTGAAGAAGGTGAACCATATTTATCTTGGGCCACTGATTGTATTTCTCCAACTGCTGCTTTCTGAATGCAACTCTGTTTGGGAGTCATCCTAACTATTGGATGGGTGGATTTTTGGCTGGCTGGCTGGACAGATGGATGGATGGTTAGAATCAGGAAGGCCTGGCCTTGAATCTTTGCTCTGCCATTTACTAGGCTTAGACAGGTCATTTAACCTCACTGTTATTATTTCTGTATTAATAAAATGAAATAATAGTACCTACCTCATTTCTGCGGCAAGAGTTAAATGGTATTCTACAATGACAGTACTTAAACCAGTGCCTGGGTGCATAATAAACATTCAACAAATTGAGTCTCAATTACTGTCCACTTTCTCATCTGAAAAATGGGGGGAAATCCTAACCTGGTATTGCTATGTAAAGGCCAAACAGGACATATTCTTTCCTTAGAGATGGCCCTTATTTGTAAACTGTAGAGTACCAGGCAGCTGTTGTTTGCAAGGGCTATTGGTGGCAGTGCTGGGATTTCAGGGAGGCTGGTGAAGGAGTTAGCACTTTAGACTTTTCCAGCAGGCAAAGCCCTGCCCTGGTCATGGGAGATACAGAGAGGACTGGGCTCCATCTGCCCTCCAAGAGTCTACAGTAGAGCAGGGGACAAACCTGTCATTCAGCACTGACAGCCCAGTGGAATCAGAGATGTGTTAAAAGGAAATGTGGATGAAGGCCCTCATTAGCCTGGGATGTCAGAGAAGTTTCTGGAGGAGGTAATGACTGAGCAAAGGTTCTTCAGGAAATGGGGGAAATGCATTTGAGGCAGAGGGAACAGCTTGTGCAAAGGCTCAGGGGTCAGACTACATGGTGCAGCTGGAGGCAAACTCAGCAAAGGCCCCCTGAGCACTCCCTGTGCCAGATGTTGAAAGAAGACGGGTGGACACACTTGGGGCGGAGAGGTGAACACTCACTGTGTGGCATTGATTTCAATTGAGATGGGCACATTGGGACCCTGGAGTATGTCAGCATTTATCCACACAGGCCTCTGGACTCTCCCATCATCTGTCAGCTGCTGCAGGAGGTTCAGAGAGGGGCCCACAGCCTTGATGCTCTTGAAGTCCAGTTTGATGCCTGTGGGGAGAGAGCCGAGGGCTTAGGGAACTGACCCTTCGTGTGAACCAGAAGATGTGACTTCTTGGGGGCAGAAAGAGCAGGTAGAGAGAGAGAGAGAGAGATAGAGTGTGTGTGTGTGTGTGTGTGGCGGTGGTGGGCAGTTGGTTGGTAGTGTGTGTGTGTGTGTGGCGGTGGTGGGCAGTTGGTTGGTAGTGTGTGTGTGTTGTGTGTGTGTGTGTGTGTATGGCGGTGGTGGGCAGTTGGTTGGAAAGACAAGGACCAACCTCCAGCTGGGTGTGAAAGGGGCTTTCAGATGGGCAGAGCTAACCCACAGAGGAGGGGCCTGCCTCTGTAGGAGGGAGCTCCTGTCTCCCAAGGGGAGGAAGCAGGGGCCAGCTGAGGGCTTGAGACTTGGGACTTGGGGCTGGTGCCGGGGTTGTCAAGCATCTGGTGAAAAGGCACTTTGGACCTTGGGTGGGGCAGGCTCAGCCGGTCTTAAGTGACCCAAACCTGTAGAGAGGTCACTCGGGATACAAGTCTGGAAAGTTAGAGAGGGGTGTTGAAAGACGGTTGAGGAGATCCCACTGTCCTGAGGACAATGGGAAGGCACAGAGGGTTAAAGCTGGGCTGTGATGTGACAAAGACGACATTTTGGAAAGCCCACTCAGATGTGTGTGTGTGGTAGTAGTGGTCGAGGGAACACCAGAGGATTAAGTGTGGAGGCAGGAGGCCAGTGAGGACAGAGGTCCAGAGGTCTTGGAGCGAGGATGTGGCTGAGACTAGCAGGGGGCAGGGCCTTGGTTTGAAGCTGGCAGATGCAGCAACTTAATGGATGTGGGTGATGCCGGGGTTCATGTACACAGAGTCGAAGAATGAACTTCGTGAATACTCAAGGTAGGAGAGCGAGGCAGAGGCTTTTATTTAGAGAGAAAGCAAGAGGACAGAGCTCCTGGCTCGGGCCAGGTGGGGACAAGAGAGTCCCGGGGTGGTGTGTTGTCTAGGGGTTTTACAGGCAGTTGAAAGACAAAGGGCTAAGGAAGTACATGTTAATCTTTGAAGAGACATAAAATTTCTTTTTAGTCTTCCTGGTTATTTACAAGAATTTTACTGCTCTGATTTCCTCCCAGGATAGCAGCTTCCTGGTCTGGGAGCATATCACTCAAGACTGCCTGCTTTGCTCCCAAGGTGGGATGAGTTATTGTTTGTTTGTTTGTTAAAGAGTATGTTAAGAAAGTTACTTTTTAACAAATTGGGTTTTAAAATGCAATCTAATTTTCAAGATGGCATCCTTCCTGTTTTTACTAGTTTTTAAAGAGTATGTTAAGAAAGTTACTTTTTAACAAATTGGGTTTTAAAATGCAATCTAATTTTCAAGATGGCATCCTTCCTGTTTTTACTAGTTGTTTTGGGCTTGCTTGCTACATTGCCAAGGTTGCAAATCATTTGTTTAGGGCTGGAGGAAGAAAAGCAGCACCTGGGTAAAGTCAGAAAAACAAGCTGGGCCCCCCAGCAGGCCAAAGCAAATTATTCCACAATGGATTATCTTGCTTTGTTTTTTCCAGAGGCCCTCACTCTGTCTAAACCCATGGCCCCTGTCTCACGGGCAAGGAGGCATCAGGCTGATGATTCTAACTGACAATGGACCTGGGAGAGGAAGGGAGGAGTTGGGCTTTGAACATGTTGCATCCAGTTTCATGCACATAGGCGGGAACAACCTAAATATGTTTGGCACTTAGCAGTGTACCATGCACTTCACATCCTCCATCTTCCTTAGAATTCTCTGAGCCTGGGCCTCTGGGACATTGGATTGGAAAACCAAGCAATGAGCAATAAGGACTGGGGCTGGGCTTGTCTCTCAGTGGAGGGGTTCCCACCCAGGCTGCCTGAGGGCTGAGGGCTAGAGAGCTAGGAAGCTGGGGAGGGGGCTGACAGAGGTCTTTACCCTTCTGGGAAGAGCTCAGTACGGCCTCCAGCCATTGCTGCAGGGTGTTGTCGCTGTAGATGGCCGGCGGGTGCGCCATGACAGGGACCCCTGTCTCATTGGCCGTGTTGAGCCCTTCTATCGTGATGTCCGCCTCCAGGAACATGGCGTTGCCTGCACGAGAGGCAGAACTCAATCAGTTCCTTAAATAAAAATGTTTTTCTTATCAAAGTATTACATATTTATTAGAGAACATTTGGGAAATACAGAAAAGCAGGAAGAAGGGAAATACCCACATTTCCATCATAGTTCTCATATTGTATTTTCTTCCATTTTTGTCTATGTATAGTTTGTAAATTTTAATCTTTAAATCTCAACATTATGAACATTTTCACAATCTTTTTCTTTTTTATGTTTCAGATTTAAAATAAGCCTCCAAACGCCCTGTGAGGGCACTCGCCATGATTTAGTTAACCACATCCTGTTGCTGAGACAGTTCGTTAGTTTCTAATTTTTTGCTACAAATAAATAATGATGCATCATATCCTGATTTCCTTATTATTTGTGATCCCTGCTTGTGGAATTTGAGTGAGGGCAATGCAGGATCATTTTTAAGTCTCCATACTATTAAATTATTGTCCAGGAAAATTGTTCTGATTCATGTTCTAGCCTGAAGGACATAAGCTTGCTCCTCTCCCTGCACCCTTACAGTACTGTGCATTGTTGTTTTAGCTTTCAAATTCATGCAGTTAACTCAATCAGGTGGATGCTGGCTGATTCCTGCCCTCCACAGTTCATCTAAGAGGAAGCTAAAGCTTTTCCCAAGGAAGGCAGACCTGGCGGACCCCGCCGGGGGTTCTTTGGAGAGTGAGGTGAGGGAGGGAGGGGTCTCATTCAGCTCCTGCAAAATCAGACAGTTGGCTCCAGAAAGGGCCTTTTCTCCTGGTTTATACTCACAGCCTACCTGTTCTCTCACCTCCAGCCCTGCTCCCCTCCAAGTCCATTCTCTACACAGCCATGAGAGTGAGTGTTATACATGCCTACCTGTCATGTCACTTCCTGTTGAAAAAACAAAACAGCCTTTCCCCACCAGCCCCCGCTATATTCCCCCAAGAATCAACCAGGCTCTGGCAAACTTTCCACTCTAACCTTGAGTCCTTTTCTCCCCCAATCTCTCAGTTCCATCCACTCCAGCTTCTCCAACATTAATGTTCAAACAAACCACCCAGGAACTGTTCAAATGCAATTTTTAATCAGTGGGTCTAGGGTGGAGCCCAAGATTCTGCAGGTCTAACAAGCTCCCTGGTCATGCCCACGCTGCTGGTCTACCGACCACTTTGAATAGTGAGAGTCAAATATGCCTTGTCCCGTGGGCTCTTGTGCGTGACTGTTGCCTTGACAACACTATTCCCTCTCAGCTTTACTAGGCCACCTCCTGTTTATGTTAATGTTGGCTTGAAGTATCACTTCCTCAAGGAGGCCATCCCTGAACCCCATGCCCAGTCTGTTAGGTTGCCTGTTCCGGGCTCCTCCCTTGAGCGCTCAGATCCTATGTACTTGCTCACTTAACATCCGCTTCCCTGAGTGAGGCACTGGGGAGCAGGGTCCTATCTGAATTGACCCATCACTCAGATTTCCAGCACTTAGACAGTATCATGCCTAAAACAGGAGCTTCAAAAATAGTTGTTGAAGGATGAGTGACTGAATAAATGAATGGTAGAAAAGTCAAGGTCAACCAGCTCAGGTCCAAAAAAGGTGAAAGCTTGCCTGAAGTTGCAGAGAATTTTCGGATTTCTCTGAAATCTAAGTGTCTGGATTTCCACTAGAGGAAGGCAGCTGAGTGCCAGGCTGTCCCAGGCACTTCTCATCGTCCCATTCAATCTGTTATGCATCTGGCTTCCAAAGTACAGGACTCCCTGGTTTCCTCATTGACAAGATGAGGTGAGCCTCCCTGGGCTGCAAATGTAGAACATGGATATAGAAGCATGTTGTACACTAAGAATGACTTTATGAAGGCAGCCTTTATTTTTATGACTTGAATACAAAGTCCTCTCTTATCTTCCCTTTTGGTTACCTGGGAATGCAGAGGGGTCCAAAGGGTTCGGGGCCCAGTGAGGCCCAGAGGAGCCAGGCCCTTGAGTCCCTCTCTCCAGGAGACACCTGGGCATTTAAGAAGGTGGCTCCTGAGAATGGAGGCTGAGGGGTCTCCTTCCCCATCTAATGGGGGCCAGTTCTGGTCTGGAGCCATGGCAGTGCACTGAGAGGGAGCAGGGATGGAATCAGGTCTGAGTCCTGGTGACCCTCTGGCGCTGCCACCTTGCTTGATTTGTATGAGCTGCCTCCCTTGAGATACCATGAGCTCCTCGCAGACAGGGTTACATCTCACTCCTTTCTAAACCTTCCTCCTGAGATGGGCCCAGAGCAGAGGCCCAACATATGAATTGGGGCCCAGTCCAACTCAATGCACTGCCTTGAAGGCTAATGGGAGGTGCATTCTGGACTAACCACCTGGGCTCAGCTTCTTCTGGAAAAAGTCTCTCCTCTAGTGGAAATCCAGACACTTAGATTCCTCCCTTAGATTCCACTGCCTTCCTCTAGTGGAAATCCAGATACTCCCTTCTCCTAGAAGTTGTTACTTGGTGATTTGTGTGGGTGAGGAGTGAAGAAGGAACAGGAGATGGAGGAAGAATCTACTTCCCGCGGCCATGGCAGGAGCTTAGGCTTCAGGGGGTGCCATCAGGCAGAAGGAAATAGAAGACTTTTCTCACTGTCAAAAGTGCCCTGGTTTGGATGATAAATGAGATAGTCATCCTACCAATCCACATTTTGCAGAGGGAGAAACTGAGCTGCATACAGGTGAAGTCACTTGTCCCAAATCATTCTTCTGATATATGGCCAAGGTAAATCTGAACCTAGTTCCACCTGCCTTCCAGGCCTTGGCCCTGGCCCCTCCTGTCCAGGTGGATATCCAGTCATGCCCAAGGTGCTTCACCAGCCTAGCCCCGTCGCTAGCATCTCCTCAGTGTCTCTACCCCAGTCCTGGCGCCACCCTCCTTCCAGGGGGAGAACCCTGGGCCTAGGGTCCTCTCTGGACCCCTGAAGCTATGTTCAGTGGTGCGTCTCTATGCTCCCTACTTCTGGGCACCCCCAGGTTGTGGCCCTTGGCTTTGTTCTTGCCCAAGGTCCTGGTGTAGACAGATCACTCATCTGCTGCCCCAGGGCTGACCTGGGATGAGCCAAGGATGGCAGGTCCTTCTCACCTCCCTCCAGCCTTATCTCCCAGATAAGAGGAAGGCCTCTTATCTGGTTCCCTCATCAGGGGGAAGGGTCTTTGCCCTCCTTATCACCAAGGTCTGGTCATTACCTTCCAATCATGAGATCTCTTAAGGAGCAGTAATCTGGCCCTTCCAGCCTGTGATGGCCTCTCTTCTGCTTAACACCAAGCCTGACTCCTCTCAGAAGTCCTCCCTAACCATTCATTCATTCATCCATTCACTTTTTCAGCAAACCCTTCCTAGGTCCTCACTCTCAGGCCTTCTGGTGTGGTAACCCTGTAGGAATAAGAGCCAGAGGCCTGACACCTAGGCCTTGCTGTGCTTCAGATGTACTGTGTGACCTTGGACAAGACCCTCTCCCTCTCCAGTTTGCTCACATAAAACTGAAGGATTTTTGTTGAGGAGTGGTTCTCAAAATGTGGTCCTGGGGCCAGCAAGATTAACACCTGGGAACTTATTAGAAATGCAAGTTCTCAGGCCCTACCCCTAAAGCAATGAATCAAGCTCTGGGGGTGGGCGCTCAGGTCTGGAGACCCTTCCTTGCTTCTCCTCTAGCTACTGCTTTGGAGTTTATGAACACGTTCATGAACATTATCCATTGAGCTTCCCAATAGTCCTGTAGGAGAGGTTGTCTTCCCTGCTGAACTGGGGGTGGAGTATTATGCAGTGGTTCAGAGCAGGGGGCTGATCACTCTGGGTTCCTTTGTTGGCTTAGCCATTTTCAAACAGTGTGACCTTGGGTAAGTCCCCTAACGTTTCTGAGCCTTCATTTTTCTTCTGTCAAATGGCACCTGCAAAACAGGTTGCTTGTAGTCCTAGGAGAACCCACACAGAGTGTGTGCATCCATTGTCATAGTAAGCAAACACTGACCGGTTGCCATGACCATTTGGAAGTGGGGACAGTTGTTACACAAGTTGCTCTTACGTTCACAGTGCGTTTTTGGTAGTGCTGGGCCTCAAACTCACATCTTCAGGTTTCCTTAGGCTTATGATGGCCAGAACCTCTTTATCAGGGGTAGCTGTCACCTGACAGGTCATGGGAGGGACAGCGGGGAGGGGAGGGGAGGCAGGACATGGTGACCTCAGAATCACACATCTGGTTCAAATTCAAGGCTGAAAGCTTATCAGCTGCACAGACCTTAGCCTCCCTTCATCACGTGGAATATGACAAGAATGTGACCCATCATAATGCCACCCCATAGGTAGCACTGTCTTAACCCCACCCCCACCCCTGCTCCTCATCAGGGGGAAGGGTCTTTGCCCTCCTTATCACCAAGGTCTGGTCATTACCTTCCAATCATGAGATCTCTTAAGGAGCAGTAATCTGGCCCTTCCAGCCTGTGATGGCCTCTCTTCTGCTTAACACCAAGCCTGACTCCTCTCAGAAGTCCTCCCTAACCATTCATTCATTCATCCATTCACTTTTTCAGCAAACCCTTCCTAGGTCCTCACTCTCAGGCCTTCTGGTGTGGTAACCCTGTAGGAATAAGAGCCAGAGGCCTGACACCTAGGCCTTGCTGTGCTTCAGATGTACTGTGTGACCTTGGACAAGACCCTCTCCCTCTCCAGTTTGCTCACATAAAACTGAAGGATTTTTGTTGAGGAGTGGTTCTCAAAATGTGGTCCTGGGGCCAGCAAGATTAACACCTGGGAACTTATTAGAAATGCAAGTTCTCAGGCCCTACCCCTAAAGCAATGAATCAAGCTCTGGGGGTGGGCGCTCAGGTCTGGAGACCCTTCCTTGCTTCTCCTCTAGCTACTGCTTTGGAGTTTATGAACACGTTCATGAACATTATCCATTGAGCTTCCCAATAGTCCTGTAGGAGAGGTTGTCTTCCCTGCTGAACTGGGGGTGGAGTATTATGCAGTGGTTCAGAGCAGGGGGCTGATCACTCTGGGTTCCTTTGTTGGCTTAGCCATTTTCAAACAGTGTGACCTTGGGTAAGTCCCCTAACGTTTCTGAGCCTTCATTTTTCTTCTGTCAAATGGCACCTGCAAAACAGGTTGCTTGTAGTCCTAGGAGAACCCACACAGAGTGTGTGCATCCATTGTCATAGTAAGCAAACACTGACCGGTTGCCATGACCATTTGGAAGTGGGGACAGTTGTTACACAAGTTGCTCTTACGTTCACAGTGCGTTTTTGGTAGTGCTGGGCCTCAAACTCACATCTTCAGGTTTCCTTAGGCTTATGATGGCCAGAACCTCTTTATCAGGGGTAGCTGTCACCTGACAGGTCATGGGAGGGACAGCGGGGAGGGGAGGGGAGGCAGGACATGGTGACCTCAGAATCACACATCTGGTTCAAATTCAAGGCTGAAAGCTTATCAGCTGCACAGACCTTAGCCTCCCTTCATCACGTGGAATATGACAAGAATGTGACCCATCATAATGCCACCCCATAGGTAGCACTGTCTTAACCCCACCCCCACCCCTGCCTTGGCCCGTCCCTGTTTTCGCAGCTAGACTTACTGCTCAGGGCAGCTCCCATCTCCTCCTGGCTGTTGGCACCATGGTACCAGGTGACCATCAAGCCATCCCGGTGGCTGATCTGGCCGAGGCTCATCAGGTAGTCCAGCATATCCGCACTGGGGTGGCAGGCTGGGTTCCCCTTGTAGCCTGGAATGAGGCCTGGAATGGGGTTGCGAGCATCAGTTCTCACCCCAGCCCATGCCCCCATTTGTCCGTTCATCCCACAGTTCTCCCTGGGCCCCCAGGGTGTGTCCAGCATGCTATCTGGCAGAGGCAATGGGACTCCAGTGTTAGCAGTGCTTCAAGAAGGAAATGTGTGGGCTCCTGGGTGTAAGCCTGTGGCAGTCGGGAAGTTTACAGAGGAGGGAATGTTTAAGAGGGAATATTACAGAGGGGGAACCTTGAAGGATAGGTGTAAATTTGACAGAAAGGGGAGACCAGGTAATTCCAGGCAGAGAACAGTATAAGCAAAGGCTTGACTGTAGGAAAGAGTGTGGTCGCCTAAAGGAATGGCCACTGGCCTAGAACAAATGGAATGTAAAGAAATGGAATAGGGCCATATTGGAAAAGAGGGTTCTGATCAGGTTGTAAATGACCCTGAGGGCAGCCACTGAGGATTTTGTTTAGAAAGATCTCCCTGTCTGCAGAGTGAGTGCAGGCTGGCGAGCAGGCTGGAGACAGAGACTGTGGGTGGGGGCAGGCTGCTGCAGGGTCCGGGAGACCTGAGGCTTGAGGGGCAGGGCTGGTGGGGGGGGAGGGAGGCAAGAGAATAATGGGGAGGCAGCACAGAGGCAGAGGGAGGAGTGGAGGGTGTTAGGTCCCCCTTTGCTGAGAGAGGGGCAGAGCATGAGTTCAGCTCGGGCTGCTGAGTTAGAGATGCCTGGTGGGCCCCCCACTAAGGAATGTCCAAGGGCACAGGAGACAGCTCTGGAATGAAGACCCAGATTTGCTGGTCCTCAGGCAACTGAAGCCTGGGGAAGGGGAAAGGAAAAGTTAATGGGACCTTCTGCTGGGGATAAAGTCTCAGCGGGGTTGGTGGTGGGAGAGGCAATCAGAGCTGTGGATAGGGGATGAGTCTTGGTGGGATTGATGAAAGGAAAGGAGGCCACCAGAGCTGGAATGGGGACAGAGCCCTGCTGGGGACAAGGACTGAGGGTTGGGGAAAGCCAACCAGTTGGTATACCAAGGAGACCCCTACCTGGCTGCTGCAGCTTTAAGGACAGGACTATCCCAACAGTCAACACCAGAGCCGCAATGGCAGTGCCGGCAAGCGCCCACTTGATCGAACTGTCTGAGCACCCCTTCCTGCAAGCCATGATGACCGTCGCTGGCAAACACCTTCCAACTCCTGCAGCCTAGAGCCCCCTGAGGCTCCCTGCAGCTGGGACCAGGTGGGAGGCAGGAGCACCGGGCAATACCCAATTCGTGGGCCTGGAAAATCCCAGGGCGGAGACAGCTCCAGAGGCCCCTCCTCCCTCCCCGCCCTCCTCATCTTCCCTCACACTCCCGGTATCTTAACAAATCAAGTGGAAAATCTTAATACCTCCAAAATGAACTTTGAGCACAGGAAGAGGCAGCAGATGTTGGACCCGGCCCCTCCCTGGTGGTCCACCCCTACCTGGGAGATGAGAGACGGGGGATTTATTCCCAGCTTGAGCTTACTGTTCTGGGGACCTGGAGCAAGTGTCTTCCCCTCTTTGGGCCTGGTTCTTCCGCTGAGCAAAAGGAGGCCACTGGATTGTCCTTTCTTCTATATGCCCTGCCCTGGGGAGTCCCTCGAGGTTTGGTTGGCAGACAGATTAGATCTGCCTGAGGAACATGAAGTATTCTTCCATCCCAGATTGTGGCTAATTGATTATCTACCTGAGATTGAAACTGATAGGCCCAGCATGGCCTTGGTTATTGCAGGCCACTCCTGGGACGGTTGGTGAGTCCACAGGGAAGCGGCTGAGTCACCACCTTGTGCAAAAGGTGTCTTGGGGGCCCTGGTTTAGGAAGGAAGTTAGAGATGGTGTCTAGTTCAGGGACCCTGGACTTCTGTAAGAAACACCTATAATGTGCACAGGTATTTTTAGTGTACAGGGGTCCACAGAGAAATCCAGCAGGGCTCCTGGTCTGAGTGTGTGTGTGTGTGTGTGTGTGTGTATGTGTGTGTGTGTGTAAGAGTGGCTAGAATGATGAATGATGCCCTGGTGGGCAGATGGAGGGAACATGGTATATGGGGACCAGGAGGGCGTACGGTGCAGACCTTGTGGAGTTGTGGGAACTGCAGGGCATCCCTGAGTTGTTGCCCAGGAGGAAACTGCATGTAGAGGTCTGGGGCTTGGGAACAAAGAAGAGGGTGTGAGCATCATTTCTATCACACTGCAATTCAAAGGCTCACCAAGGTTTGAGCCCCAGCTCTGTTACCTGGGTGACTTTAATCCCCTCGCCCATGACATATTATAAAAGAGAAGAATCAAGTAGTGGTTAGGAAGCACCAAGGTTTCAGATGTGGAGCAGCTGTCTTTAAAGTTGATACTGCAGGAGGTCCTTGTCCACTGGGCCCTCAGAGGCCCCCACCAGCTTCCATGAGGAAGCCCCACCTCCCCTCCAGAAAGAAACTCAGAAGCTGATACAGGCAGATGTCTGGGGGGCCACTGACATTAGGGATGGTGGAGGAAGAAGACTGAGTTAAGAAGCATAGGATGGAACAGAAAGGGTGGGGGAGGGGTCCCGGGCCCCAGGGGTCAACTGAAAGGTCACTTCAAGAAGAAAGGGGTGGTCAGCTGTGGAGTCCCCTAAGGACAGCATGGTGCCACTGGATTCCACAGTAAGAAAGGTGAAGGTGATGCTGGTGCGGACAGTGTCCGTGGACTACATTCACAATGGGATGGTCACTTTTTTGGGTTACAGTATTTAACAGCAATGTTGGACAAATCTCCTTTTGAAAGAAAAATCCAAAATTCAGGTCTTACAGTTGACACGGGTGAACCCGGACATACATTTCTTTACTTGCTTATACCTTCACTATACTGTCCCTCCATAGTAACCTCACAGGCTGCATGACCTTAAAAGATCATTAACCTTGTCTTGCCCTTAGTCCTCTGCCTTAAGGCTGGTTACATGCAGGGGTAGGGTGGGGGTCATGGCGATGTTGGCTGATAACGTCCATGTTGCAGAGCTCATACCAGACTGCAGTCAGCATGAACCACGCCAAGACACCTCAGGCAGGGCCAGGAAGGTGGGACCGGTTCATAATGTTTCAAGGGCCTTCCGGTTTCTGTCCTAGCCCCACATTCCTTTGCCAATAGCATACAACCTGTCCCTCAGGCGGATTGGAGGAGGCAGATCTAGGGAAGGCACCCTGCCTTCTCCTTGGGCTGTCCTTCTTGTTACCGGATCAAATGCTGTTTTTGCCAGGATCGTGTCGGAGGCGTTGAAGGATGAAGTCAACCCACAAGAGTATGAGACAACCAGCAAAGCTTTTAATGAGGGGTGAAAAGAAAATGGCTCCTGCTAATCAGGAGGGGCTCCACAGGCAGATGCCATTAGGGTTGTGGTGGCTAGGGGTTTATAAGCACCTCAAGGAGGAAGTCCACATGGTTGCCTAGGACCTGCTGTTAGGGCCAGACTAGGGGTTCAGAAAACCCCCTTGTTTCTCAGGCTGGCCATTCCAGGGTGTGGTTACTTATGTGTGCCGCTTGGCCAGCTGACCACAATGCCTGGTGTCAGTGTCCCACTTGGCTGACCTCTACGAGGGCAACATGTCCTGTTCTACCTACCCCACCGGCTATCTCCTGCCAACACTTCTGATAATAAAGCTTTCTCTGCTTCAAACGTGGTGACTCAGAGATTGCTTCTTGCACATCGGCAGAAAATCCAGATTTGGGGGTTCTGTAACAAGGGCTTTCTGTGTATAAATAGCCCTTGTTTTAGAATTGTTTGCTTATTTAATCTTGGTGACATCCTTATGAGGGAGGCATCATCATCACCCTCCCTTTTCAGATAAGGGAACAGGAGTCATCTGCAGCAGAGCTGGGAGATAAGGGCTTGGGTCTTTCTGACTAGCAGGCTGTGTGTTGCTCAGCCCCCATGGGAAAGATGTCGGGTGAGCTGGGAGGCACTGAGCTTTGCTGCTGCTCTTGCCGCTAAGGGCTCTTCACACTGCCTCTTGTGATTGAGGGACTTTACCCGGCTCTGGCTTTTGGCAGGAGGAACAGCTCTGGAGTGGACTCCAGGCTTCAAAGGACTCTATTGTCTGTGAACTTCTTGTGAGACAGACCTGCACTCTGTACCCAGCACTATGCTAGGTTCTCGGGACCCACTGCTCCCCATGATGTATTGTAGGAGAGAAGAAACAGGAGGTGTAAGGTGCTCCAGCCTCTCATATGTGAGGTGGCCATTCTAGAGCTGGTATCACCGGAGCAGGGCTTGCAGCCTGTGAGGATGTCAGACATGGAAAGTGCCCATGGCAGGGACCCCAAGAGGGAGCATGCTGGCTCAAGGAGACAAAGGGATTAGGAGCACAGTGAAGGAGCCCCAAACTCCTGGGTGGACTGGGTGGCTTTCAGAAGAGGTGTGAGCTGAGTTGATTTGGAGAGCCGTTGGGGACAGGGGCTGGGGAAGCTCATTTCAGACAAGTGAAGCTATGTGTGAGGGAGCAAGTAAAGGCTTATGGGAGAAGGGCTTGCTTGGGGACATGAGCAGTGCAGTATGACAGGATCGCCAGGTGGGAACTGTGGGTGCTTGGGAGATGGGGGTGGGGAAGCGAGCAGGCCTGGGTCACCCTGGCAAAGAGCTTGGTCCCATCCTGTGGGGGATGGGGAGCTTTCATTTACGGGATAAGTAGGAGAGAGACTTGCTCAGCTTTGCATCTGGGAAGGTGATTCTGGAAGCTGGTATAGAGAAATGGCAGGAGAAGGCTGGGATGCCCCTAGCACCCAGGCCATCCTGTTTCAATGCTCTTTTCCTTCCCCACACTGAGTTACATGACTTCCCATGCCATACTGAAACAGGATAGGGAAGACCAAGAGGGACTCCATTTTAAAATGAACCTCCCTCTTGGGTCTTTAGGGTTAAAAGGTAAAGTTCTTAGAATGTCTTTAAAAACAAGAATTAGCACTAACCAGCCATCTGACTAACAATCAATGTACCGTATCTTAAACCAGAATGAACACTCCCAAGAATGAGTAACCAGTCCCTGTTTTCACAAAAATCATTACCTTTAGAGAAGAAGAGTTTATAAAATTATTTTGTGTTGGTTAGTAGATGTTGATTCACAGGCTTTCCAAAATACGGTCAGGGCCTCTTTTTTGTAAATATGGGGCAGGGAATGAGGCAAGGGAGGTCAGAGTAAGAACAAGATTCATTTCTTCAGCAAATACCTATTGAAGATCTTGGGTACCAGGAATGGGCCAGGTCTTGGGAGACCAGACATGCAAAGGTGAATAACAAATCTTTGCTGTCCTTAAAAAATTCTCAGTCTAATGAGGGAAACAAGCAAGTAACCACAGCAGACTAATGTCATTAGTGTTCTGATCTATGCTGCAAAAGCAGAAGAGAAAGTCCTAACCCAGATGTGGGGAAGAATCATGGAGGACTTCCTGGAGATGATACATATTGGGCTTTGACAGATGAGTAGGAGTTATACAGGTGAAGTGTGGAGAAACAGGATGAAAAGAACATTCTAGATGCAGGGAACATCATGAGAAAATGCACAGAGGCAAGAAACAGTGAAACAGTTCCATGGATTTGGGGAAACCACTGTGCAGCTAAAGCAGAAATTGTGTAGGACGAAATGGTAGGATATGAGACTGTGGAACAATTTCAGCAGTGTATCAACCTCCTGATGAAAACTACTTAAATACTGGATAGAATAAAGAAAATCTTTTAACTGTATCTCTAAACTGATATAATAGGAAAGAATCCACAGCACTGAAAAATGACATGAAGGAAGGAGCCCCCGAGAAGGAAGCAACTGTCAAAGCTGACTTTTGTTTGAGGAAATTTGCCAAATCCTGGAGACACTGAATTTCCACTCCGAGGGAAGTATGGGTTATGATGACAAGAGATAAATCCTAAGACCCCCTCCAACATATGATACACCTTCATAAAGATGGTACACTAAAGGCTACAGCCTCAGTAAGGATTAAAGAGAAATAAACCCACTCACCTGTTTTGATATTGGCACTTGGTGGGATAAAAAATTCCTCTGAAAACTAAGTATGTACTACCCTTCACACAGATCCTTGGCCCAAATTCATACTGCCTGAGTGACCCAAAACTTTAAATGGTGGAATTTAGTTTAAAGTAGTCCCATATAGGTGGTGCTCCAAGATGACTAACAAAAGCAAAAAGAGGGCTTCTTCAAGGGAACATAGCTTCTACCGAACACTTAAAGAATCCCCAGGCAGTTTCAAGGAAAACGCACAGCTCTTG